GCAACCTCACGTTGGAGCCAGCTCAACCTGGCTCACATTTTATCCACTCCATCCTGACCAGCTTCTTTATTTCCTATGAAACTACACGCATATGCCAATAAAACACCACACTTGAGTTTGCAAAGCCCAAGACAGTTGTGGGACTCGAAGTTGAATGTGAGGATACTGAAGTCTAGAACCATGCTTGATAAAATGTAGACAGCGCTTCTCCTGGGGGGAAAGTAACACTTAACTCTTTGCTCAGAGAGAAGCTGGTATGAGTTTAGTTTGTAAAATGCAATATTTTGAAATGCTCCTGGCAGTTCCTTGTGTGTGACTGTTGAAATAGCGGAAATGCAGTATTGGGTATCATTTTCTGAGCAGGGCAGAAGATGGCCAGACAAAATAATTTCAGATAGTTCATTCCCTTGTTTCTACCCAAGATGCCAGTCTCAGAGGTTCAGGGAGCAGCTTCTGCCTCTGCCTCCTAGAACACGCCCAGCCCATGTGTGCCCAGACCATGTGGGTTATTACAAACATTTACCTCAATAAATTAGCATCTGTTTAAGTAAAGTGGAATTCATATGAACAATAAGCATTTATGAGACAATCGGAGAAAGTGGAACAACTGAATATTTTATAAAAAATAATTGATACATTTTAGATGTGATAGCACTGTGGTTTTGTTTTTTAAAGTATATATGACATATGGGCTATTTATGGATAGTAGTCTTTACATAGACTATCGTATAGCTTATCTGTATATAGACTATGAAAAGTAGAGAATGTGGTGCACTGTGATGGTGCCATTACACTCCAGCCTAGGTGATAGAGTGAGACCGGACTCAAAAAAGAAAGAGAGAGAGAGAGAGAGAGAGAGAGAGAGAGAGAGAGAGAGAAAGAAAGGTTTTTCAGTTTTGAGTTGTGGGGTGGGTTGGGATCAGGAACAACCAATGAGGAATTACAGGATGATACAGAAAGGCTTTCCAGTGCTGGTCTCTGATTGGCAGGTTGGGAATATGCTGCCTGCTGGGCCATCCCGAAGCACAAAATCCAGACACAAGGCCCATGTGTCAACCTGTCCCACTGACTTTCAGTTTTTCTGATCACATCTAGGAGAGCACCTTCTAAGAGGAAAAGGCTTCCCTGCGGGTGCGTGTTGAGGTGGACATCTGTCCTATCCCCGCAATGTTTGCCTTGCCCAATTCTAAAATGCTTTACATTTTTGGAAATAATGTTCTTTCTTCTTCCAAAGATGACACATAATACTCCATGGCATGAAACGGAGGCATGAAAACAGTTAATAAATAGCCCAAGATCCCACTTTCAGACATTCTCACAGCACCTATTTTCAGCATTAGTATGGAATATGTGCCACTGAGCTTATTGATATGGTTATTTCTTCATTAAAAAGTATAAAATCACAGGTGCTTCCCAACTTTTGATTACCTACGTGTTTTTATTCAATGTCAAGAGCAAATGTTAAAGTATAAATATTGATTTGTTACTGATACTTTGTTAAACACACCGGAGCCTTGATCCATGTTAATTTGATCTTCAGCCCAAGTCTGGGTTTATTTTGTGGATTTTCTTGTTGGGAGGACTAAATAGATTCGTTATGGTTTGAGGGCCAGACAGCCAGATCTCTAAGAAGATAAGGAGATCTTGTCAGAGACACAATGATGATGATTCTCTAACCAGGGTCCTGTATCTCTTTTATGTCTTAAATTATTTTTTGGATAAAGAGGGTAAAAAAATAGTTTAGAAATCTTTATAATGGAAAAATTTAAAAATTCCTTATTGTTTATGGGCGCAAATAATGAATGTTTTGAAACATTAAGGAGCCTGGCCTATATGTTTGACATACAAAATATTCTCTGATCATTAAAGCCCAGAAAGAGAAAAGTTTGAGGGCAAGAGAGAGATCTGGTGGTCAGAGGAATGAGAAAAGTTCTGGGGAGTGGTGTTTTTCCTTGGACAAGGTTATAGAGCTCTTTCTTTGTGATGCTCATAATCAAATGAAGAAGACAGACAATAAATGAAGAAGTAAAGATATAGCTTCAGGAAGTGATATGTGCCATGAAGAATCATTAATCAGGATGTATTAGTCCTAAGCAGCTGTAACAAACTACCATGAACTGGAAGACTTAAAACAACAGAAGTTATCTGGACACAGTGGCTCATACATGTAATCCCAGCACTTTAGGAAGCCAAGGCAGGAGAATCTCTTGAGGCCAGGAGTTTGAGACCAACATGGGCAACAAAGCAAGACCTCATCTCTGCAAAAAAATTAAGAAAATTAGCTAGTGTGGTGGTGCGCACCTACAGTCCTGGCTACTTGGAAGACTGAGGCAGAAGGATCATTTGAGCCCAGTAGTTCGAGGATGCAGTGAGCCATGATCATTCCACTACACTCCAGCCTGGATGACAGTGAGACCCTGTATCATACAAACAAACAAACAAACAAACAAATCCAGAAGTTTATTTCTCACAGTCTGGAGGCTTGAAGTCCAATATCAAACAGTGTCAGCAAAGTCAAAGTCATGCTGCTTCTAAGACTGTGGATACAATCCTTCCCTGCCTCTCCTAGCTTCTGGTGGTGACTAGCAATCCCTGGTGTTCCTTGACTTGCAACAGCATCACTCTAATCTCTGCCTTCAATGCCCCTTGGCCACCTTCTCCCTGTGTGTCTGTCTTCATGTGGCATTTTTCTCTGTGTGTGTGTCTTTTCTTATAAGGACATCAGTCTTATTGGATGAGAGCCTGCCCTAATGACCTCATCTTAACTTGATTACATCTGCAAATACCCTATTTCCAAATGAGGTCATATTCATGGGTACCAGGGGTTAGGACTTCAATGTATCTGTTTAGAGGACACAAATCAACCAATCACACAGTATGAGGCATAGAGAAGACTGCGGAAGGGAGCAAGGGTGCTGTTGGGATGAACAGTTGGAAAGCCGGTGCGACGTCAAGAAGCAGACCCTGAATGTGTCTGAAAGAAGAGCCTTGCAGGACAAGGGCACTGGGAGAGCAACAGCTTCAAGGACAGCTTACACCAGGGGCCAGTGTGGCTGAAGAACCGTGAGGTAGGAGACAGGAGATGGCAGAGCCTTGTAGGGCATGGGGAAGATTTAGGGCTTTCTTCTAATTGAAATGAAAGTCACTGAGGGTTCTGAGCAGAGGACTGCTCATGATCTGCGTTTTCAAAGAGATGTGCTGTGGTTTGCATATGGTTTGTCTGAGCCAAATCTCATGTTGAAATTTGATTCCCAGGGTGATGGTGTTAGGGGGTGGGGACTAGTGGGAGGTGTTTGGTCATGAAGGCAGATCCCTCATCAGAAGATAAATGCCCTCCCTTGGGTGTGAGTGAATGTTATGCTATTGGTTCCCATGAGAGCTGGTTGTTAAAAAGATCTCAGTTCACCTCCTACCATGTGATCTCTGCACAGCCAGATCCTTATCTTTTGTCATGAGTGGAAGCAGCCTGAGGTCCTCATTTGAAGCAGGTGTTGGCACCATGCTTCTTGTAAAGCCTGCAGAACCATGAGCCAATAAAGTCTCTTTTCTTCATAAACAACCCAGTCTCAGGTATTCCTTTATAGCAGCACAAGACAGACTCAGACAGAAAATTGGTCCCAAGGAATAGGACATTCTATAAAGATACCTGAAAATGTGGAGGCGGCTTTAGAACTGGGTACTGAGCAGAGGCTGGAAGAGTTTGGAAAGCTCGGAAAACAGAAAGATGAGGGAAAGTTCGGAACTGCTTAGATATTGGTTAAGTGGTTATGACCAGAATCCTGATAGAAATATGGACGGTAAAGGCCATGCCGACAATGTCTCAGCGGAAACGAAGAACTCATTGGAAAAGGTCATCCATGTTAGGCCGTAGCAAAGAACTTGGCTGCATGTGTCCCTACCCTAGGGCTTTGTGGAAGGCTGAACTTAAGAGTAAAGTCTTAGGGTGTCTAGTGGAAGAAATGTCTAAGCAGCAAAGCACTCAAGGAGTGGCGGGTGTGGCTATTTTGTGGCAGCAAAGGAATGGCCAACAGGCGGAATTTATAATTGAAAGGGAGCAGAAAATAAAAGCTTGGAAAATTCTCAGCCTGGCCTTGTGGTAGAGAAGGAAACAACATTTTTTAGGAGAGGAATCCAATGGTACAGCTGAGAGACCGCTTACTAAAGAGATCAGCATGAATAAAAGGGAGTCAGGCAGGTGATAATAGTCAAAACATGGGGAAAAGGCCTTCAAGACAATTCAGAAATTTTCGAGGATGCCCCTCTCAGTACAGGCCCAGAGACCTCGGAGGACAGAATGGTTTTGCGGGGATAGGCCCTGGGCCCTGATGCCTTGTGGCACTTTGGGACGCTCCTCCCATATCCCAGCTGCTCTGACTCCAGCCTTGTCTCAGAGGACCTCAGGGACTGCTCTGGAGGGCACCAGCCCTAAATCCTGGCAACTTCCACTTGGTGTTAAGTCTACAGCTATGCAGAATGGTTTGGCGGCTTCCATGTGGATTTCAGTGCCCAGGCAGAAGCCTTCCTCAGGGGTGGACCCACTGCAGAGAGTCCCCATGGAGCACTGCCTAGTGGAGCCACGAGAACAGGGCTGCCGTGGGGGCCCCAGAATGACAGAGCCACCAGCAACATGCACACAACCTGGAAAAGCTGCAGGCGTTCCACTCCCACCCAGAAGAGTAGCTATGTGGGTGGCACCCAGCAAAGCTACAGGGGCGCTTGGGAGCCCCCCACCCCCTTGCACCAGTGTGCCAGATGTGGGTCGTGGAGTCTGAGTTTTGGAATTGTGGTGTGGGCCTTCTCTTTCCTTTCTTTTGGCCTATTCCTCCCTTTTAAAATAAGAATATTTGCTGAATGTCTGTTCTACCCTTGTTTCTGGAAGTAAATAACTTGTTTCTAGTTTCGGCTCATAGCTGTAAGGAGCTTGCCTTGAGTCTCAGATGAGACTATGGGCTTTTGAGTTGATGCTGGGACAAGTTAAGACTCTTGGAACTGTTGGGAAGGGATGGTATTTTGCAATATGAGAAGGATGTAAAATTTGGGGGGCTGGAATGCTATGGTTTAGATATCTTACCTTCTCATTTGATCCCCAGTGTTGGAGTGGGACCTGGTGGGAGGTGTTTGGGTCATAGGGGCAGATCCTTCATGCATAGATTAACGCCCTCCCTCATAGGTGAGTGAGTTCTTGCTCTGTTCCCTCGAGAACTGGCTGCTAAAGAGCCTGGCACCTCCTTCTCCCTTAATTCCTCTCTTGATGCGTGACCCTTGTACACACTAGCTCTCCTTCACCTTCTGCCAGAGGCCCTCACCAGATACTTAATTTGAACCTTCTAGCCAGTGGAACCATGAGCTAAATAAACCTCTTTTCTTTATTGATGGTCCAGCTTCAGGTAGTTCTTGATAACAACATTAACACACTAAGGAGTGCTAGGATAGAAACTGGAAGCTACTTAGGTGGTTTAATGTCTAAGTGACTTGTCCCAGGCAGGTGAGACTGAGGTTTTTGTCCTAAGCAACGGGGTGGATAGAGTTGCCATTTGCTGATCAAGGGAACCCCCCCTCCCCCCGGAAAAAGCAGGTCTGAAGGGGCATCCAGAGGTCAGTTTTAGACATGCTAAATTTGAGCTGCCTACTAGTCTTCCAAGCGGCCATGCTGAGTAAGCGACAGAATATTCAAATCTGGAGTTTGGAAGCAGGGTTAGGCCAGGTGCTAGGGCAGTCTTCAGCACTTAAATGCTGCAAGAGCCATGGGACAGCTTGAGGTTATTTCGAGAGTGAAGGTAGTTAGGAGTAATCAGGCAAGAAAGGAAAACAGGGAACAGCTGCCAACCAGAGACTGAAACGTTGTCAGTGACAGAGGAGGAAAACCAAGACAGTGCAGTGCCCTGGGAGCCATGTGAATTAAGTTTTTCAAGAAAAGCGCCATCTGTGTTCTAACAGGCATTCCGGAAAATGCTTCAAATTAAGGCGTCCATCCTGGTATAGAAAAATCTAATTCTTAGAAATTGCAATTTAAAGAAAATGTGACCTGGCATGGTGGCTCATGCCTATAATACCAGCATGGGAGGCCGAGGCAGGAGGATTGCTTAAGCCCAGGAGTTCAAGACCTTTCTGGGCAACATAGTGAGACCCTGTCTCTACAAAAAATACAGTTTAGTCACATTTTCGTATGGGATTAACAAGTCTCTTGATTGATGTCTAATTTGGTGTTTTTGTATCATATAACAGGAATTCAAGCTATCAGAAATGACAGTAATCATCTATACATCCTATGGAATTTAGGCAACCAAATTTAGGCTATTTGTATGACTTTTTTAAAAATAATTTTTTTATTTTAAATATGTGGGGTACAATTCAGGGTTAGGTGCACAAATGTTCATTATGCAGGTACCCTTGTTGATGAGGTGTGCCCCTCCCTCCCCTGGCAGTTTCCCATGACTGCCACTCCTGCCCCTTGTATGACTTCTAAACTCTTAGATCTTGTGGCTATGTTACTCAGAAACATCAGATGATCTAATTATGGCTAGTGTGCATCCAAATGTTTACTATTAACCCTGCAAAATGGTTCCACCAGTTGATCTAATGGCACAGTTGGTCCAGCTCCTTGACCACAGAATTGCCCGACGGTTTGATGGTAAGGAACCAGCTTAGTAGACTCCTAGACATCACACAGTCCTGGGACTGAGTGACTCCCAAATCCCATCTCTAACTTTTTTTTTAGTTTTTTATTTCATTTCATTTTAGAATTGTGGGGTGCGTGTGAGGATTTCCTACACAAGTAAACTATATGCAGATGAGGTTTGGGCTTCTGCAGTCCTCTCTCCCGATAGTGGACCTGGTACCTAGTGCATTGTTGTGTGCTCTTTGTCTTTCTCCCTCCTTCTCTCCTCTAGCAGTGTCCGGCATCTGTTGTTCTCATCTTTGTGCTCATGTGTCCAGTGATCAGGGTCTACTATGAGTGAGAACATGTGATATTCAGTTTTTTGTTTCTGTGATCGTTCACGTAGAATGATGGTCTCCATCTGCATTCATGTGACTGCAAAGGACATGATTTTGTTCTTTATGGCTGTGTAGTATTCCACTGTGTATATATGTGCCACATTTTCTTTATCCAGTTCACTATTGGTGGGCATCTGAGTTGGTTCCATGTTTTGGCTTTTGTGAATAGTGCTGCAGCAAACATACATGTGCAGGTGTCTTTTTAGTAGAGTGATTTATGTTCCTCTAGTTATATTCCCAGAAATGGGTCAAATCCCATGTCTAACTTTTTAAAAGTATATGACTCTTCAGCCTATGTCAATTATTTTCCAAAGATCTAAAAAAAAGAATTTGTATTATAGATAATGAAAGATACAGTGCATTGCCATTGCATTTTTGAGACTATTATATAGTTTTTTTGTTTTTTTGTTGAGATGGAGTCTCACTCTGTCACCCAGACTGGAGTACAGTGGCTGCTCCCGGCCACCGCAGCCTTGACCTGCTGGGCTCTGGCGATCCTTCCTCCTCAGCCTTCCAAGTAGCTGGAACTACAGGCGCGCACTACCACACCTGGCTAGTTTTTTGATTTATTGTAGAGATGAGGTCTCACCAAGTTGCCCAGGCAGGTCTCGAACCCGCAGGCTCAGGCAATCCACTCACCTCAGCCTCCCAAAGCGTGAGATTACAGGCTGAGCCACCGAGCCTGGCTTTTATAGCTTACTTTATAGAGAAATAGGTGGCAAAATTCACAAATATCATTTATTTTTATTTTTGAGTTGGAGTCTCACTCCATCGCCCAGACCAGAGGGCAGTGGCACGCTCATGGTCACCCCAACGTCTACCTGATGGGCTCCGGCTATCCTCCCAACTCAACCTTTTAAATAGCCGGAACTACAGGTGCGTGCCACCACACCCAGCTAATTTTTGATTTATTTTAAAGATGAGGTCTCACCAAGTTGTCTGGGCTAGTCACAAACCTGCGGGCTCAGGCAGTCCACTCAGCTCAGTCTCTCAAAGTGCTAGTATGACAGGCTGAGCTACAAGCCTGGCCACAAATATCATTATTGACGTCAGGCCCAGGCCTGCTAGCTGTGTGACCTTGGGAAGTTACTTGCTCTCATCTGTCTCAGTTTCCTCATCTGTGAATTGAGAATGATGTGGTAATACTAACCACCTCATGTATGCTATGGGAATTAAATGACTTAATATATTTAAATACTGAGAATAGTGTTTGATCCACAGTCATTGCTAGTTAAGTGCTACTTGCTATTTTATGGTTGTCTCGTGTGATCTCCGTGACCAACTTGCCATGGAGGCTGCACAGCTGTTATTTTTTTAAATTTACCGATGCCAAGTAGCTCACCCCAGGTCATCAGGAAGGGAGTGAAACACCAGAACCTCTGACTCCAAGTCTAGAGCTTTCTCTGGTTCATGCCATTGCTTCTTGATCCACTTAAAGATCAGCATATTGTTGCAGTTTCACTGTATTTGCACAAATCTCATGCATAGCACCATGAGATTCTTTGTTTGATATGACAAGGCGTTCCAAGCCAAACAGAACTTGATGCTGGGGAGGAGAGCCCAACCTTCCTGGAAGGGCTGGAGATGCTTTTCCAAGGCATACATTAGAATCCCCCAGTGAGGAGATGCTGGTCAAAAAATGTCTCCAGAGTGAATGAGCAAATGTTACAGAGCAAGAAGGAAGCAGGACAAAGGACCGTGATTATTCGACACCAACTGAGAATCACAATAAAACTTTATTCATCAAAAGTGACCTATTAACCTCTCTAATTCCATAGAACCGTGTTGGAGGAGAAAATAAATTCATTAGAAGAATCACTGACTGCTGCTTCTGTGAGGATTATCTGTTAAGCACAGTCATTAATATCAAAGAACTAGGGCTGCCCAGATGGGCGGTTGGGGGAAAGGCCAGCCCTGAGGGTAGCGTCCAAATAACCTCACTATAAATTTTCTGAGCAGCTCAGTTGCTTCCGAACTAGTTATATACACTGAGAGAGACATCTACTCTCATTTTTCCATTCTTTAAGAAACACATACACTTTTCCAAGAACAAAGTGGAGAAGGTAGGAAAGTGACACCAGGAAGATGAAAATGTAGAAGGATGTAGCGATCCCTTCCTTTCCCTACTTCCTTCGAGAACCCTGCTCCAAAAAAGCCCTCCTACCACTTAGTTTTCTTTCCTCCCTCCTTCCCTCCCTTCCTTCCTTCCTTTTTGAGTTGGGGTCTCACTCTGTCACCCATGCTGAAGTGCCATGGCATGCTCACGGCCACTGGCCAGCACAGTCTCGACCTACTGGGCTCAGGTGATCCTTCCACCTCACCCTTCCAAGTAGCTGGAACTACAAGTGTACACCACCATGCCCAACTCATTTTTCTTGATTTATTTTAGAAACAATATCTCACCAAGTTGCTTAGGCTGGTCTTGAACCCCTGGACTTAGACAATCCTCTCGCCTCCACCTCCCAAAGTGCTGGGAATATAGGTGTAAGCCACTGTGCCTGGCCTCTTTTTTTAACAGGATCTTGCTCTGTCATCCAGGCTGGGATGCAGTGGCATGATCATAGCCCACTTAAACTCCTGGACTCAAAGGATCCACTCGTCTCAGCCTCCCGAGTAACTGCGGCTACAGGCACATGCCATGATGCCCAAAAACTTTTGTGTGCTTTGTAGAAGTGGGGTCCACTATGTTGCCAAAACTGGTCTCAAAGTCCTACCACTTCTTAAAGTATAGTTTTCTTTTTTACTTTCTTCCTTCCTTCCCCCTTCCCCTCTTCCCTTCCTCCCACCCTCCTTCCCTCCCCTCCTCCCCCCTCCCTTCCCCTCCACCTCTCCCTTCCTTCTTTAATAGGGTCTCACCAATGTGCCCAGTCCCATTTTCTTAAAATGGCAATTTCTGAGAATTAGATCCTTCTATTCCAAGATAAAGACCTTAATTGGAAGCATTTTCCAGAACACCTGTTAGACACAGTTGATGAAGCCTTTCTTGAAAAATTTGATTCACTTGGCCCCCAGGATCCTGTGCTGTCTTGGATTTACTCCTATGTCACTGACTACTGTTCAGTCTCTGTTTGGTAGCTCTTACCCATTTTTCTTTTTTGCCTGGGTATATGTCGAGGCGGATTTTGAGCTTCTACAGATAGGAGGTCAAACTGAAGCTGTAGGAAAAGTCCCTTCTTCACGTTTGCTCAGTGGATACTACTACATGGCAGTTTGAGATTTGGCAGTGGAGGCCTTTGAGGTTTCTGAAGCCCAGAGGCCTACCAAGGGCAGGGAATTGGGAGCAAGCTTCCCTGGGTGCAGGCAATAAGGGGTGTGTTTTCTATAGAGAAGGCAAAAACAATGATAACCTAAAGTCAGTCAGCTTTTTATTACCATGATTTGCCAGCTTCTCTCAACAGTGTTGGTAGTAAGATACTCTGTCCCCCCAAAAATTTTGTTGACTAAATTTTAAATCATTGCTATAGACACTGTCGAATTTTAATAACTTACATATACTTTTTTTTGAGAAAGCAGGAATTTTATTAAGAATACAGAAAAGGGGACCTGAAAGAGAGTTGCCCACATATAAGTTTTAATTTAGCATATGGTTAGTCTTATTCTTTAATATACATTGTATTCTATGTAGATGTCGTCAGCACTTGACAAATGTGAAATGCATTCATTCTTAGAGCTAGTTCATTATGGTTTGAAATCTTTTGCATGCACTGTCCATCACAGTTTCTATCTCCAGCTCCTGTGGGACTACATATTCCTGCTAGTTTAAACAGTAGATTCAAAGGCCAGGTGCAGTAGCTCACGCCTGTAATCCTTTGGGAGGCAGAGGCAAGAGAATTGCCTGAGTCCAGGTATTTGAGACCAGCCTGGGCAACATGGTGAGACCTCGACTCTATAATAAATCAAAAAATTAGCCAGGTGTGGTAGTGTGCACCTGTAGTTCCAGCTACTTGAAAGGTTGAGGTGGAATGATTGCCTGAGCCCAGCAGGTCAAGGCTGCAGTAGCTGGGAGCGTGCCACTGCACTCCAGGCTGGACAACAGAGTGAGACAACTACCCACCCCCACCCCAAAAAAGTAGATTCAAAATGAAAAATAACAGCATAAAGATCGCAAAGACAAGAAACAGACCTTGAATGGCTTTAGTTCTAATATTCTATGCGACCACTTGGAGACTGTGGGACAGAATGTGAACTACAAGGAATAATATTTTTGTTTTTGTCAGGACAAATTTTAGTTCCCAGATGAAATGTCCTGCTAAAGTTGAATAATATCTTTGAAGCTGAAACATATTTCTTTTTAATTATTAAGTGCCTTAAAGATAAAGAACGAATCAAGGAAATAGTTATCATGTGATGATTACTGAAAATAATGTTGACATATGAGGAAAGGTGTATTAAAAGTTATCTGCTCAATGTATCCAGTACTCTGGGATTGCCACCATGATAGCCCATTGCTCTCTTCTCACGTTTGTACAGTTACTGGCCAACACCCTCCCAAGAACAAGCGTCCAAAGGAACCAGGAGAGAATAGAATCAAACCTACCAGCAAAAAGGTGAAACCCAAAATCCCTAAAATAAAGGACAGGGACTCGGCAGATTCAACACCAAAGATGCAGTCTATCATGATGCAAGTGATGGATAAAGGTCGCTTCCAGAAACCTGCTGCTACCCTGAGCCTGATGGCAGGGCAAACTGTAGAACTTCGATGTAAAGGGAATAAAATTGGATGGAGCTATCCTGCATATCTTGATACCTTTAAGGACTCCCGCCTCAGGTAAGCATTTTTTTTTTCTTTTACTTGTGTTGGGTCAAGGGTTTAGTTTCATTCCCTTATTAAATATGATGTTGTTTCTGACATCTACCATTTCACTCTAATTGATTATAAAAATGGAAGCTCAATGAACAAAAGCCAAAGATTTTATTTCTTCATCTGGTTAACAAAATTGTTGTAAACCCTACCAATATTGGTTGAAAGAATGACATTTTATAGGAAACCCTATGACAATTTTACATGAAAACATGAATGAAATTTTATAGGAAACCAAAATTTTAATGCATAGAGAAACTGTAATGCATAGAGATGGATATTTAGGAATTCCTACTATGAAAAATAACGGACTCAATGTTTTGTGTTGATTTTGAAGTAATCATAATGAAAATGGAAACTAACAGGAAATTCCTATGAGCAATTTGACCAGAGAACAACTTAAGCTACTTTTAAACTTTTCAACTGTTTCTGTTTATTATTATTTTTTTCCTGTGAATATACAACTTTTATATTCAGAGGCCTCAACTGGAAGAAAGACAAAGATTTCTCATGTTTGAATGAGTAACTTTCAGGAGGCTGGCTTCTAGTTCGGGAAAAATGGTTAAGGTGATGATCATGATTATGACAACTGTGAAAAGCAAGAAAGAAAAACATGCTTTCCAGGGTGCCGGGAGAAGCCCTGAGCACTGGCTGTGGGGTTAAGGGATGTGCATGTGGTTAGGGTCCCGTGTATCTTTGAGGAAGTCCTCTCAACTCCCTAGGTCTCAATTTCCCTGTGTGTGGAGCTAAGGGGATGGGAGGACATGGTTTCTAAGACTCTTTCGAGCCCTACTTTCCTATGACTTATGATGGAAAAATATAGGATGTTGTCTGTTTGGGATGACTATAATGGAAAGAAAAAAGAAAGAGGATCACGGGCATCTCAAACTATGCATGCTCATCACAGATTCATAGTTCCACATAAGCTCCACCTCTGCAGAAATTCATCTCCCTCAAGGACACCACCGAGCGGCCACTGCACTCAGTCTGGGCGACAGAGTGAGACTCCAACTCAAAAAACAAAACAAAACAACAACAAAAAACAAAATCAGAGCCGATCATGTCACTGCCCTACATACCATTCAGTGGATTTCGCTTATGGATAAAGTCCAACATCCTCACATGATAGATGAGGCCCTCCCTGATCTGCAATGTCTCTCTAGAATTATCTCTACTCTGCTTTTGCTGGCCTGGGCTCCTGTGAGACGGTCCAAATGTCCAGGCTTTGGGACCGTAAAACTTGCTGCTTTCATAGCCTGGACCATTCTTGGCCCCCTCTTTACCAAGCCAACCTCAGCCCAGGCATCACTTTCTCTGGAAAACCCATGCTGGGCCTCCCTAAGTTCCCATGGCATCTGGTGTTTCTTCTCTCCAGCTCGCTTCACACATGTAACTCCATCTATGTTATCCACTGAGGCTTAGCCTTCAGCTTCTTCTGTTTAATGACTAAATAACAATATTCCTCATCCTCCTACATGCACTTGTCCTTCTCTCCCTCGGCCACTCACACACACACGTACATATGCACACACCTTGGAAAATAAATAAATTAAGATATATGTATACATAATATTTACCTGTCTGTCTGTCTATCCTCTTGAATTAAGACTGCTTCAAATTTATATTATATGCCTATACCCTCTGGTATTGCATATATAATAGTGTAGCATCCTTCTTATAGTTTTATGGGCTGGATGGAGAGAAGAGAAGGAGAGAGGGGGTTGGTTTTTTCCATTTCCAATTTCACACTTGAAGTGTGTGTGTGTGTGTGTGTGTGTGTGTGTGTGTGTGTGTGTGTGTAAGAGAGTATGCATGTATACTCTGCATGGGACAAATCTGGAAAGATTTGCTACCATATATATTTGTGTGTGATAAAAACACATAACATAAATTTAATAATTTTTAGGTGTACAGTACTGTGTTGTTAACTATATTACACTGTTGTGTAAGCAGACCTCTAGAACGTTTTTGACTTGCATGGATGAGATCCTGGGCCCACTGAACAACTCTTTCTTTTGCCTCGCTTTCACTCCTGACAATCACCTTGCTACTCTGTTTCTATGAATTTGACTTTTCCAGGTGTTTGATATATATGGAGCTTGCAGTGTATTTGTCATTTTGTGACTGGCTTATTTCCCTTAGCATAATGTTCCCAAAGTTCTTTCGTGCTATAGCATATGACAGGATTTCTTTTGTGTTTAAGGCTGAGTAATATTTTATTGTATGTCTATACTAAATTTTTTAATCCAACCAACGATAGACGTTTAGGTTGCTTCCACCTTCTGGCTGTTGTGAACAATGCTGCAGGGAACCTGGATGTGCACGTATCTCTTTGAGATTTTGCTTTCAGTTCTTTTGGATAAATAGCCAGAAGTGGGGTGTACCATATACATGTTAAATGACATTGTTCACCAAAGTCAGATTCACACACTTAAGAAAATCAGAATTGATATAATTTAAATTATCTTGAACATTTAGTCTTTGACTTACACAGAATACACTAGACCTAGAGGATTTAGTGCCTGGTGATTCAGTATTTTCTAAGTATTTTCAAAATTATGTCTAACTTGTATTAAAGTATGTTTGAGAACATTTTAAAGACTCAAAGTGAAGTGAGCATGAATCCGAATTGAAGAGGGATATCCAGGATCTGAAAGAAAAACCAAAACTTTGACTTTTTAACTTTAAATAGTATTCATTTGAAGCACAGTAAGGGCCTTATAAGAAAGTGAAGACAGATGTGGGCCCCCCAAAACGTAATGAAACGTGAAAAATGTGAAAAACATCTAGTCATAACTACATCAAACAACAACAAAAAATCACGATTTATTTGACACCAGAGATTTAAGAAATGGACTCTTGACATCTTTCCCAGAACGTGGTGCCTTTGGATAGAGAAGCATTCATCCTGTGTTTTCTTTTCCTGTGGAATGAGTTCTTTCCAAGGCTATGACTGCTTTTGGGTTGGACGCTCCCCAGATGTTCTTCCAATAAAGCCTTGTAGTTTTAACCAATATTGGTGGCTTTCTGGAGCTAAGTTCACATGTCACCACATTTGTGTGAATTTAATCTTCTGACGACTTTATCTTTTTCACTAAATTGTAGGATGTTTCCTGTCACTGATCTATAAAAGCAGCAGGCCAACAGAGGGAGCAATTTATGAAGAAAAAAGAGCTGAGGAACTTTAGGGCCCCTGAAAGTAAAACAGGACCTAATTAGAGAAAAATGTCATATACGTACATCTGTTTTTTCCCTTAGTGTTGAGAAGGTCATCATCGCTTATTAAATACTTGAATGAATTAATATACATAGCTTTATTCATCAAGGCATATGATGTTTTGGTAAATGATTAAAACATGACATCCAGAAAGAAAAGTCAATGTCACCCAAATATAATTTGGCATCTCTATAAGATTAGAGGATACAGTTATCCATCTCTGTCCACTGATTTTTCACAATGGCTTTTTTTTAACATGGATGCTACCTCAGTTTCTTATCTTGTAAGGACCCTCTCAACTATGAATTTGGTATTTGAGAAAATATGTTTTAAAAAATCAATATTTCAGTAAGTCAACATAGTTTATCCAGCAGTAATTTCACATATATTTTAATGTAGATCTATGTATAATATACTTATTTATCATCTTAACAATATTCATCAATGTAACACAGTCTTCTATGTAACTTAAATCTTCTTACTTGGTTTCCAGTTGGTGGCTGTTTGAAAAGTTTTTACTATCATAGATAGTGCAATATAAACAGTGTTGTATAAATAACTTGCTACAATTGTTTATATGTGTAACACTGAGAAAGAAAGCATTCAATTTCCTCAAGCAAATCATAAGGATAAATGTGTCATGTCACATCTTTCCTGCTATGAGTATAAGGAAGAAGCCAGGCGCAGTGGCTCACTCCTGTAATGATAGCACTTTGGGAGGTGGAGGTGAGAGGATTGCCTGAGCCTAGGGGTTTGAGATCAGCCTGGGCAACTTGGTGAGACCTCATCTCTACAATAAATTTAAAAAATTAGCTGGGCATGGTGGCGTGCGCCTGTAGTTCTAGCTACTTGGAAAACTGAGGCAGAAGAATCACCTGAGCCCAGCAGGTTAAGACTGCAGTAGTCACTGTACTCCAGCCTGAAAAACAATTTCTCAAGGACAAGTCCATGTGATCTTCTGGGACAGTTAGTTCAGACCAGGACAACACAAATGAAGAAATCATGCACAGCCAACATGGCTGTTGATACAGAGGACCCGAGAAAGTTTGTTTACCTCTTTCCCAGCGATGTATGCACACTTACTTAATCCATTACTTGTAATATGGGGGTCTGTGTCTGGGCTCCCTCATGAAAGAGTCCCAGAAACACATCTGTTTGGGTCATCATCAGGTTCCTAGCAGCTAGAACAATGCTGGACACATACCAGATCTCAGGAAATAGTTTTTGGTTTAGTGCTCGTGTCAGAAATCAATTCCTAGTCATGCATTAATTCATTCAACGTTTAAAGACATAACTCAGTGCCAGCGTGTGCACTGTAAGTTTTGAGGGTAGGATCCACCAGGCGAACACCAAAGTATTTATGTGTTTTTATATCAATGGTTCTCTACCACCTCCATTTGCTCCCATTGTCTCAGAGCCTCCAGTTGTTTGACCGCATTTCCCTTTTTCCTCTTTATCTACACTGCGTCCTTTTGTCTTCACTTCTCTATCTTGGATTCTGAGGTCTGGCATTTCTACAAAACTCTTGAACATGTCCCAAGTTCTTTTGCTCTCTGTTCTTCTTTCATTTCTACTTGGAAGCTTTCAACTCCAAATGTTTCTGTTCACAGACTTTCTCTTGTCCTCACGTGGGCGCTGAGTACTGCTGGAGGAATCCACACAGCTGGCCAGATGGGTACCAGTAGATGTGTGGCCACCTCAATTTGGCCTAGCCAAGCTGAATACATCGCTCTGGAGAACTCACTTTTTC